TCACCTCCCTGCCAGGAGCCCTCACAGAACCCAATAGCGTCCGCATCAAGACCCAGCTGATCTCTCTGACCACCAACACCTTCACGTACGCTCGTCTGGGTGGCATCGTCCCGGCCATGGGCTGGTGGCACGTGTGGAAGCTCCCCGTCAATATCCTGCCCGAACCGTACAACGACAACACCAAGTACACCCGCATTTCGGCCTGGGGATTCTCCGAGGTCATCGAGTCCACCATTCCTGAGCTGAAAAAGGGGACAAAGTTGTACGGGTACCAACCCATCGGCACTGCGCCCGAAGATTTGGTTCTCGAGAAAGACGACAACGTGTCGGGCCACTGGCTGGAGCGCTCCGAGTACCGCAAGGATCTCGCGGGCATCTACAACCGGTATGTGGTGCACGAGGACCTCGACGACACCAACAAGTACGATGCGCTCATGATGGTGCTCTGGGGAACTGGTTACCTCATGAACCGCTTCAACTTTGCGTGGGAGCACAAGCCTGTTCACCCTTTTGGTCTTCCTGACCCCGACGGCCAGCTCTGGGGAGAAAAAGAGGCAGATCTGAGTGAGGCTGTTGTGATTTTACTCGCGGCGTCGGGAAAAACGGGGTTGGGATTCGCCAACGAGTTGCGGCAGAGGCCCGAGGGCAAGCGGCCGCTCAAAATCGTCGCAGTGGGATCGGAGCAGTCGAAGCAGTTTACGCTACGCACCGGGCTTTTCGACGAAGTGTGGCGGTACGATCAGGTCGGGGAGTATCTGGACTCACTTGGACCCGACAAGGTCAAGAAGATTGTGCTCGCGGATTTCGCCTCGAGGGGAAGTTCGGGTGATGAATGGGCCATTGGGTTGCGGAAGAAGACCGACAACTTCCTGGGACTGATTGTGGGAGGCGACCCGCTCAAGACAAGCCCGAACAAAGTAATGACACCCTCGCAGGATCCGAAGGGCGAGGTTTTGCAGGTGCACGGTGGGGTTGTCAGGGAGAGGGCATTCGAGGATGTTGGGATCGCGGGGTATTTCGAGGGGTATGCGAAGGCTTGGGAGGCATTCAAGAGGTCAAAGGCCGTGGAGAATGTCAAGGTAGATACTGGTCGCGGGCCATACGAGTTCAAGGAGGGATGGGATCGGCTTGCAAAGGGTGAGTATGCTGCTGATGTTGGGCTGGTTTACGAGTTTTAAGCGTTGCATGCCATGGATGGATTTGCATGAGGAGGGTACGGCTTGGTACGCTGTCGTCTAGGGCATGTAAGAACTGAGGAGGTGTGAGTTCCAGGCAGTCAAATTTAGAGAGCTCGAGTTGCGCAACCCAAAGTGGCTAGACCCGAATAGACGGAATCCATGCCGGTGGCTACTGCTCCCTCGATGGCATCCGGCTCATTTCTCCATCAGTAACCCATCACCCGTTCAGTTATTTCTGTTTCTCAGGCTAGCACTCAACCTGAATCTCACTCGCACAAAGTTCACCAACCGAGATACGTGGGATTCTAGACCTTGAATTTCATGTCATAACCCCGCTCTGGAGGCGTACCCTGAAGGCAATAGTCTCGTGTAACACACCATGTCATCAACTGCCGTTCGGGTAAAGCCTAAACGCACCTATCAACTGCGTTTTTCACAGCCTTCAACACGCCAAAGTTGGATGATATCATGTGTTAGCTCTATCTTGCCCCTTGCCATGGGCTGAATGTCAGAACATTCCAGCGAATCAGGGACTCAAACTACAACTTTGGACATCTGGGCATCAGAAACTATTGCATGCAGGTCAAGGCTTTCCGGGATCTCTCTAAATCCGACTGTATGTCTGTTCAGGTTTATCAGCCCGTCCACATGTGTAAAAAGAGCCCTTGCATGTGGCATAGGTATGCCGCAGCTATCACCAATGCCGACGCTGGAACAGGGGTGCTTGCTGCGTCAGCTTTCTTGGGACAGAGCAACACCTTGGGTGTGTGTCCCCTCACCACCAGCCGAGCAGAAAATTTATATCTGTGTACAAATACCGGGGGATCAACAGCCGACAGTCCGATGCAAGCTGGTTTCCACCCTCTACCACTCACTGCTAAAGTACATCCCTCCAAGACCATGAAGCTGTTGACGAGTTTCCTCTTGGTCCTCGCAACCGTCGGACACGCATCGGCCGTCCTTCCTCCAAAGCTGCAGGAATTCACACAATCAGCCATCGACTCCGGCCTCGTCCTCAAGACCCTCAATGGCATCGCTCTAGCCAAAACCTTCTCCAGTTTCAGCGGCACCTGCACCCCATCCAACGTCAAGTTCCGCCGGGAATGGCGCAGCATTTCCAGAAACAGTCGCAAGAAGTTTGTCGAGGCCGTGAAATGCGTCCAGACCAAGCCGAGCGTGTTGCCTCCCAGCGAGGTCCCCGGCGCCAAGTCGGTGTACGATGATCTTGTCTGGGCCCATATCCGAAAGGCTGGGTTGGTTCATAACAGCGTTCGTAGCCTCTCTCCCCGGTTGAAACACCAAAGACTGAAGGAGAAAAACAGGGCACTTTCCTCCTCTTCCATAGATATTATCTCTACGCCTACGAGCAAGAACTGGCCAAGTGCGGGTGGAAGTCTGGCGTTCCCTACTGGAATTGGGGTCTGGACATCAACGGCCCGCATCTCTCTCCCGTGTTCGACGGCTCGGACGCCTCTCTCGGCAGCGATGGGATTTTCATCCCTAACCAACCTGACCGCGTGATCCACTTCACCCCTACCCTCTCAGTCGTCATTCCTCCCGGAACAGGAGGTGGATGCGTGGCCAGCGGTCCGTTCAGTGATTTCACGATCCGGTTGGGCATCTTTAGCAACTTGACAGGCATGCCGGTGGAACCTGTTGACGGAAGAGGTGACAATCCGCGGTGTCTGGAGCGGGACTTGAACGGAAACCCACTGCGACGGTGGTCCAGTTTCCGGAACACGACCGAAGTGATCTTGAGTCATGATAACATCTGGGATTTCCAAACCCACATCGAAGGGGATCCGAGGTTTATGGATTCACAACTCGAGCTCATGGGCCCCCACGGCGGTGGGCATGCGGGTATTGGGGGAGTCGCGGGGAATCCCATCATCTCGCCTTATGATCCGGCCTTTTGGCTGACGCACAGCCAGTTGGATCGGATTTATTGGATTTGGCAGATGCTGGACTTGGAAAACCGGAGTGTAAGTTATCAGTCACAGTCCGCGATGATATGCAAATACTGATGAATTGTTTGCAGAATGTCGCTGGCACCAGCACGTGGATAAACCTGCCTCCCAGCCCGAACATTACTGTGGAGGACACGATTGACGTGCTGCCTCATCAGCCGACGAGGAAACTGAAGGAGCTGATGAATACTGTTGGTGGCTCGCCTCTTTGTCATGTGTATGTGTAGGCAATAGGTAGAAATCTACACTTGACGAGGATCTTAATGTGAATGTCCTCAAGTCAGTGTACGTGCTTAGGTGGATGCCGTATTCGAGGAGAGGGCTCCCAAAAAGTTGAATCGGGCTGTAGAGTATGCATTGTGATCGGGTTCCGGGAGATGCAAGCAATACACATCGAGATATGTTCAGCGTACGTAGTATCTGACGTTCTTTTGGGTCCCGATGCAAGGGTCAACTGGTTGACGAGCGGTGTGATTATGACAGGGTAAGAGCCTTAGCTCATGTCAACTGCAGCTAGATCGTGATGATGACAACGTCAGTGTTGACTTGCTTCGGGTCTAGCTCTGCCGAAGCTATCGTACCCGCGGAGATATGACTTGCCAGTTTCGGTGCATCCCGGCCACTACCCCGCGAATCAATGCGAGCTATCCGGTCGTCAATATATATCAGCTTTCTCAACCCATCAAGGCAACCTTTGTAAAACTGGTCCCGTACCTGCCTTCCTCTCAATCCCACTGGGGACTTTCAACTACCGCCCCAAAGTTGACTGGCAGACCAATCTGTCTCAAGCCAAATCATCACAATGGCCACAACCCCCTGGACATTCACCCCCTTCCCCCCCCTCCCCACAACCCTCTTCCCCAACATCGCCTTCTACAACGCCACATCCCCATCTTCCAACGTGACCTACCAAATTTCCCTGTCTTACCCCTTCGAATGGGGTTCCTCCCTTGAATCAATGGGCTCCAACAAAACCGCCCTGACAGTCTACGTGACAGACGGCAACGCCCTCGCCATGACCGCCTCCGACAACCTCAAGCGCCGCAAACCCGTCGACCCTTCCCAGCCCGACACTCTTGTCGTCGGGATCGGTTATAGTCTAACAGATAGCATCTACGCCTGGACCCAGCGGTCCATAGACTTTGGCGCGCCCATCCCGGGTGACCCAACCCCTATTGGGGTAGACGACTTCCTCGATTTTATTGGCGACAGTTTACGGCCTTGGGTGCAACAAATTATTTTTCCGGAAGTAAATTTTACCAGAGATGCGCTGTACGGGCATTCCAGTGGCGGGTTATTTGCCACATATGCGCTTATCAACCGACCGCAAATGTTCGACACGTTCATCGCTGCTAGTCCTTCTTTGGTGCTGAGGAACGGGACTATCATGGCGAACGTCACACGGTTATTGGGTGATGGGATGGGGATCCCTGGGGAAGTTGACTTTGAGTTTGATGGGCAGAACACCACAAAACCAGCAGTGTTTTTGGCGTATGGTTCGCTGGAGGAGTTTCCCCAGCGTCGAAGAACGCAAAACGAGACGCAATTCTGGGCACGAAGGGCTATTCTCCAGAGATCAAGACTGGGGAGTTTGACTCACGAGCTATATGATCGTCTCGTGGGGAGCGGGAAGATGAGGGACGTGGTGATCAAGGAGTATCCGGGCCAGGACCATGCCGGGGTGGGAGGGAGCGCGTTGATGGATGGGATTGCTTACTTTTTGGATTGGTGAGGAGACAAAAAGGGGAAGAGGGGGAGAGTAAAAAAGATTGCGGCCATCGGGAATCGAACCCGACTCTAATGCTTGGAAGGCATTAATGCTAACCACTACACCATGGCCGCTGAAAGAAACAAGCTCGGATACGGGGAGTCGAACCCCGGGCTGCTGAGGGACTCGAAATCTCTGAGAGACTTTTGAGAGTCAGCGATGTTACCGCTACACCATACCCGATGGAAAATCGTGTGTGGATTCCGATTCTGTTTGTTGGAGAACCGGATGGAGAATGGGGTATTTGTAGGGCAAGGTGGAAAATATTGGTTTGGTGGAGAGGGAGGGAATTTCTCTGTCAGCTTGTGTGGACATCCGATGGGGTAAGATGTGGTGGAGAAGGGTGAAACTGTGTGGGCTGGGTTGCTGTGGTTGCAATTTAGCGGTGGAGCAGGTGATTTAGTGGAGTTGCCCCTGAGTCAAGTAAACATTGGATCTCAAGGAGGGAAGTCATGGCTTGTGAAATTTTCTCAAATATGAGACCGCCGTCTTCTAAATGTCGTTGTGGATGTGATAGCTTTGATGGTAGTTAAAGTTCTTGGCAAGGAAACGAGTTTGGGCACACTGAACGGCGAGATGGAAGATGAAAGATGGAACATAGAAAAACACATGACTGATTCGCGCGAGGATAAATGCCGGTGCGCACTTATTATAAGCGGCTTTCGCATTGTTCCTACCGTCTGCTGTTTGCTCTGCCTGAGAAGGCTTTGGAGCTCGATCGCAAGTCGTGTACATGATTATTCAGTAACCGATGATTCGGTAAAAACGAAGCTGTACCGAGGATCCTTTAAAGCTGGGAGGTAAACTCTTGATCTTCCAGCCAAATTCCGCGTTAGAATGGGGTTTATAGTACCAGCTGAGATGTGGGAGGCCACACGCCGTTGGAAAGACAGTTGTGAGTTCCTTGTTCGAATCATGGTTCCATGATCTTTTGCTATCTTCAATGTTCTTTTTTTCCAGTATTCTCTTTTTTTTCTTGAGTCGATGGGCAGTATCTACCCCCTCTATCTACCACGTTATTTTTGCATATAATCCAACAGACTAGCCGCAGATTACACCTCCTCCAAAGCCCTTCCGAAAATCTCCACAAACCGCCACACATCCTCAAAGGTGCAGTACATCGGCACAGGCGCCACCCGTATCACTCCCGGTTTTCGCGCATCGCAGATTATTCCCCCTTCCTGAAGTTTCTTGAAGACCTTTTCCAGGATATCCTCATCTGTTAGGAGAAGGCTCAGCTGCGAACCCCTCTCTTCTGGATTTTGTGGTGTGAGAATCTTAAACTTCTTCTCCTCTTGCTGGTCAGAAAGGAGCCCAACAAGAAGCCATTCCAAGTATCCCGTCAATTTTACCGCCTTTTGTCGCAACTCCCTCATCCCCACGTTCTGGAACATATCCAACGACGCACTTACGCAAGCCAGATCGATCGCAGAGGGATTACTCAACTGCCACCCCGCTGCTCCCCGTGCTGGTATGAACTCCTTCTCCATTTTAAACCTCACAGACTTATCAGAGCCATACCACCCTGCTAGTCGTGGTAGTTTCTGTCCATGATGCTTGGAGTGCACAAAACACCCAGAGGTGGCACCAGGGCCGGAGTTGAGGTACTTGTAGGTGCACCAGACCGCGAAATCAACATTCCAGTCGTGGAGAGATAACGGGATGTTACCGGCCGCGTGCGCAAGGTCCCATCCCACAACAATGCCGCGGGACTGGGCGTATGAGGTAATAAGGGGGATGTTGAGAGATTGGCCGGTGTAGTATTGGATTCCGGGAAGAAGTAACAAAGCAGTTGAGGAGGCATGCTGGTCGATGACAGAGAGAATGGTTTCGGTTGAGAGGTAGAGGGAGGGAGAGTCGGGTTGAATCTCGATGAGGGAGGTGGAAGGGTCGAAGCCGTGGTGACTTATTTGAGATTGAATTGCGTACTTTCGTCCAATATCAGTAACTGTCAGATGGACAAGAAAGTAGGAGGAAAAGGGAAGGGAAGAGAACATACCCAATCGGATGGAAAAGGCTTCCACTCCACAATAACCTTGTGTCTCTCCGTGGTAGGCTTGTAAAATGTGGCCATCATCAGATGAAGATTTACGGTGAGAGTATTCATGTAGATGATCTCTTCGTGAGAAGTGGCACCGACAAGCTCGACGGATTTCTTGGCGCAGGACTCTGCTAGGTCTTGCCATGCTTCCAGTGGAGAGTTTTCAAGGGAGGAAAAGTGACCGTTGACACCAAACGAGGCCCATGTTTCTAGCTGTGCCGGGATGTTGCGGGATATAGACCTGGGCTGGGCGCCGAGGGAGTTGCCTACTAGGTAGACGGAGGGCTTGTTGTCTTCGCTGTCGTCTTCTGGGTTTGATGCTGGGGAATGTCAGATTTGGTGTGATACTACCAGGTAATCACATAGAGAAATACATTGGACATACCGGGAATAGTCCCATCGAGAGCCTTCTTTCTGAGCGAGCCGCGCGTCGGGATGTTGAACTGATCCCTGAGATAAGCGAGTTTGTCATTCCTGTCTTGTTCTCGAGCGTACTCGAGGGTTGCCGCTTCAGGTGTGAAAGTCGATTGTTTCTGAGGCTCTTCGGGAGTAGCCGCAATAATCACGGCGGAAGGCATTGTGTAAGGTATATTGTGAGACCGGTCCTATGACTTTCGAGGAGAGATGAAGCTGTACCACAGCAAAGAACAGGCCTGATGGTCACAAAGTCTGAGTAGCACACTTTATAGACTACGTTTTGACAAATTGCACTTTTCGAGAACTCCACCTGCCATCCAGACAGTCACAAGCTCAGTTTACTTATGAAATACGGTAGTCAAACGCACTTGCTTGAGATTGAAAGGACGGCCGAGACTGGGACCGGACGAAAAGTGGATCACCGACATTCGGAACCCGACATGGCTCCACTTATTCCCGTTCCGCGCCGCCGCTAAGGTCTTGCCGTTTCGTTCCGCACTTCCGCTCCATCATTCCCGTCTTCCGCACTTCCGTCTCGCTGCCAAATACCCTTATCTCGACACATTTCCAAGATACCAGGACGCTTTTTGGGATGCAAGACTGAGAAATCAGGATCTTGACGCGCAAGTTGGGAGGATTGGAACCTGCGGCTTGCAATGCAATGGCTTCTCAATCCTGTCCGTCAGTTGATGTCATCTGGTACGGTCAGAAGCCCGAACCCGCACAGGCGCATATTATTCTTGTTCATCTGCGCCTCTCGTAAATTCATCCCAACGCGAACCCCTTTGCAACAAGGGAATTCGGGGAACCGGAACTTGTCAATCACTTGCAAGACCATTCTGCCAAGCAAGTTCTCAGACGAACAACTGCGGCTTACACTCGGCTTACCTCCAACACTGCCCAGATTTTGAAGCCAGTTCTGTCTGCGTAGAATTGCACCATCTCGGTAGAACGTAGCAGAGATAGCAACTTGGTTCGGGAAGGAGACGCCAAGCGTCACCATGATATGTGGAGCTAGCCACTGCATACGGGCGTAACCATCAAACGCACCCGCAGCAACCTGTAGGGTCAGTGCCCACTCCCCATCTTTGCAAGATCAGATAAAAGGAATCGTTCTTGACCGAAGGGAGCGATGAGGTGGAAATGTTTGGTCCCGACGTACTACACTTCATCCCCATCGCTGAGTAGTACCTTGATTTGTTTTACTTTTCCGTTTTGTGTGTAGCGCAAACACCTCCAGCCGTACCTCCCCCACAGACACTTCAACTTCTCTACCCCTCAGAAAACTTCTGTCGATCAACGCTCTGCAGTGTCCACACACAGAGAGTCAAGATGTCTCCTTGCGAGCCTCTTCCAATTCCAACCTCCACTGTCATTGTTGTCCCAGGGGAGTACACACACGACAACTTCCTCGAGTCTGTCTGGCTAGAAGAAGAATTCTCTGTGACCAGCAACGCCTTCCTTCCCAAAGAGCAGCCGCTCACAAGACTTCCCCACCCATACTACCAGCCTTGGGAGAATCTGATCGAGCATCTCTCGCGGTTATTGCAAAATGGGACCCTCAGACAAAAGGTTGGTGGCTTGCCAGTTTTGTCAATAGAGCTGTTGTCGACGGAGGCAGAACTTCGAAGAGGCTATGTCGTCCTTGCCTTCTTGACGCATGCATATGTTTGGGGCGGGTCGTCGCCTTCTGAGGTATGTCTGCCTTTAGCCGTTCAAGAATGGTGTATCAAGTTCAAAAATGCTGAGACAGCGCAGATACTCCCACCTCAAATAGCCGTACCCCTTCAAGCCATCTCATCCCGCCTCAACATGCCACCAGTGGCCACATATGCTGCTGTAAACCTCTGGAACTACCATTCATCCTCGTCAGACTTCAGTGACCTCGACTCCCTGCAAGCACTACATACCTTTACGGGGACGGAGGACGAGTCGTGGTTTTTCATGGTGTCCGTCGCCATGGAAGCTGTTGGTGGCCATATCATCCCCGTCATGCTCTCCGCCCTTCAGAATTCCTCCCATCCTGATAAACTGGCCGCAGCCCTGGGAGAAATAACCCAGTGCATCCGCGTGCTGGGAAAGATTCTCGACCGAATGGATGAGCGCTGTGACCCAAACGTTTTCTACCACAGGATCCGACCTTTCTTGGCGGGCAGCAAGAACATGGTGTCGTGTGGCCTACCAAAGGGGGTCTTCTATTCTCTCGACGGCAGCGACAAGAACGGCGAGTGGAAGGAGCTAAGAGGTGGCAGCAATGGACAGAGTTCTCTGATCCAATTGTTTGACATCCTCCTTGGAGTGGAGCATAAGACGGGCAGTCCCGACACAAAAGGGGAGAGCTTCCATCAGGAGGTCAGGGGGTATATGCCCGACGGTCACCGGCGGTTCCTGGAGTTCGTCGAGAACAAATATCCTGGTGGCCTACGTACCGCGGTGGAGATCATGGCAAGTGAGGATGATAATGCTCAACAAGAAGACGTGAAGGTCGCATTTCGGGAGGCAACGAATGCGCTGGCCGAGTTCCGGAACAAGCACCTGCAAATTGTCGCGAGATACATCATCATTCCCTCACGGCAAGCATCACAACGGGGAGCCGGGCTGGTCAAGAATCTAGCGACCATTTCTGCTTCCGAGACTAAAAAGGAGTTGACGGGTACCGGGGGCACGGCACTGCTGCCATTCCTGAAGCAATCACGCGATGGGACATTCCGGGCGGGGGACTTTT